CCTATTCTGAAATTATTGCAGTAACAATACAGAGTAAACATCTTAAGGAAACACTCAGGGCGGTGGTGGCGCACACCTTTAATCCCAGCACGCGGGAGGCAGAGGCAGGCAGATCTCTGTGTTTGAGGCCAGTCTGGTCTACAGAGCAAATTCCAGGATAAGCCAGGACTACTCAGAGTAACCCTGTCTGGAGAACACCAAATAAATAAATAATGAATAAAATCAGGGCAAGGAGGCAATAAAGCTCACCTAGTATTTCCCCACAGCATGCAGTGGGCTCTGCAGTGTGGAGGCATGTGCTGGGAATCACAGCTGGGGGTTTCTGAACGCAAGTTTAATAGGCTTCAACCTGCGTGATATACCAACACTGTGAAACACGGCAGAACAAAAACACCCTTTCTTTATTTCTTTCCTTGGCACTTTGCCATCACCACCGTCTGCCTCAGAAGCTCCCATCAAAGCTGTTATTGTGGTTTAGTGTTTTAAAACTCAGGTGCATAAAATCATCACAATCGTTAAGTACTAAAGACTTAAAGAAAAAGAGATGGGCAGTGGAAAACTGAAGAAAGTTACTCACTTGTTATCAAACTTGGGAAACTATTTTAACCCATTAGCAGTGAAAATATAAAGCATTAACTAACTGCTGCTTTGGGTTGATAATTAAGCAATGCTTTTCCTAGAGAAGGTGATGTCTTTACATGCTAAGAAGATGCTGGGTAACAACATAAACTGTTTAATTTTTTTTTGGAAGCCGATTATCAACATTCAAAGAAGGAGCAGCTTATATTTGATTTCTTCAAAGATCACAGCATCCAATAGTACAATGTGTATATTCAACTTCTGTTCTTTCAACAGTGAAATAGAATTGAGGACAGACACCCTGAGTCAGAATGATCTCACAATCAGTGCTTGTCCTTGGATGCTCATGGCTGCCAACTGATGGAGTTAGTTAAAAATAAAAAAAAGACACTAAAGTAGTTTAACAGAAAGAGTAATATTATTCAGTGTTGGATATTGTTTAAGAAGTTTTTAAAATGTTTTATTGTGAAGATTAGGAATATTTGCTTACAGTATAAATGTAAAAATAGCAATTTTAATGCTATGGGACTAGGTATGGTCAATGGCACTTTCCTTCAGCCACAAAGCAACGAAATCCTGCCATTTCCAGGAACATGAATAGGACTGGCGGTCATCACATGAAACAAAGGAAACCAGTTTCAGGAAGACAGATAACACTCATTTCTTTCTCTTATATGTGGAATCTAGATTTAAAAAAAGACACCAAGAAAGGGATGTAGAGATGGCCTAGTGTTTAACAGTATGCACTGCTTTTGCAGAGGACCTGAGTTAGTTCCCAGCACCCACTTCGCCACCACGTCTAAGTCTAGCTCAGGGATCTTCTGGCCTCTGAGGACACCTGCACTTACATATTTGTACCCTCCCCCCATGCGTGTAGCTAAAGATAAAAGACATGAGAACGGAAGGGGGACTCTTGGGAAGAGGAAGGGGACAAGTGAGAAGGGAGAGGGAGGGTCAGGGTATTTTATGAAGAATTCATTTCTTCACTCTCCATTTCTTCACATGGAGACTCCAAAGACAGTGCAAGCTTGTCTTTCATTTTGGGCAGTATTTCTCAAGCTCTGAAAATTCTGCTATGATTTCTCCAGTCTTTATCTTATAATCTCTTTAAAAATATAATTCTTCCTTACTTCCCCCCAAGTGTTAGAGTAATTAAAACCTTTCCTCATTTTAAAAAGTGATTTATTTATTTTTAGGTGTATGAGTGTTTGCTTGCGTGTATGTCTGTGTGCCACATGTGTGTAGTGCCTGCTGAGGCCAGAAAAGGGCATCAGACTATCAGGAACTGGAGTTACAGATGGTTATAAGTTGCTGTTTAGGTTCTGGGAATTAACTCATATTCTTTGCAAGAGCAGTAAGTGTTGTTAACCATTGAACCATCTTTCTACCTACCCCCCAATATTTATTTATTTTTCCTTGTTTTTATTAGTTAAATATTAGTGAAAATCGATTTCAGGACCCTTCTTGAGGTTGGGTTTTGATGAGAATGAATTGAAAACACACTAGGGATGTGATGAGGAGGGAGTGTCCATGAGAAGGACACAGTAAGAAAATGAGGAGCAACAAATGACCTGCTTTATTGTTCACAGGCACCAGCCACTGGCAGCCTTTCTTATCCACTGCTAAGCCTTTAGATTATTTAGACCACAATTCAGCATCCCACTCCATCCCAGCTGTTCTCTCCTCTTCTCTCACTTTTTTCTTTCCTGCCTTCCTTGCAGGTCAGTAGTACTCTTGGAATTCTCTCATTTTTTTTTTTTCACAGCTCATAAGAAAATGTATGTTGTAATATGGACCATGGCATTTCCTGGGGAGATCAGATTAATGTTAAATCAAATGATAAGTACTCTGAGTGAACAATAACAATTTCTGGTATTAATATTTTTGTTTCTCTCTTTGTACTTTGTCCCTTTCCTCCCCGTCTTCTCCATCTTTACTAAGAAGAAAGTGTATAACAAGGACTATTTTTTTTTTTGAGGGGAGAAAAATATTTCTTAAAAGACTTACAGCCAGGATATAGTTCCTTACAGATACCTGGAAATCAAGGACGTCCTCACAATACCTGGCACAGGCAGATGATACTACTCTGGTGACCAGAATCCTCATCCTCATTGTTCTGTATGCAGAGGAACAAAGTCGTGCTGTGTGTGGCTTTGAATGTCCATCTAGTGTATGTCTACCACGTGGGACTCAAAAAGTGAGGGGAAAGGGTAGTGACATGGGGGCACTATGTCAGGATAGATTTGTAGATTTCCAAGCAGTATAAGTAAAATTATACTACCTACTCTCCAGTAACTTCCTCTCTTCTGTCTAAGCCTTCTTAAGTCTCCGAAATATTCCCACCTTCTTAATTCCCAACAGAATGAATTAAATATCAGGAGAGAGTCTACCAGTCCCCTCTCTCTGAGCAGGTATTAAATGACTGAAGAGATCATGATTATGAGAATCTCTAAGAAGCTGATTCTCATGCCTGCCTCTGTGGAAGCTTCTTGGGTAGTTGGTGGTTATGGCCCACATCTGTTGTTGATTGGCTCGATGCCAGCAGCTCTGGTTCTCTGAACTGGAAAGGAACTCAAACGTGGGGTTTTAGGGGTATGGAGAACCGCAGGATGTGAGCATTCTGGGCCTCTGGTGCCTCATAAGGAAGCTGCATCTGCTGGATTAAGGAGCTGGAGAGAAGACCAAGTCAGCAGCCGATATGAGCAGCTTCCCAGCACTTGGGCCCCAAGTGTCCCACCACTTTCTACTTCTTTTGGAACATGGGCCTTTCCAGGTCTGTTAGCCAAGCTGCAGAGTCAGGCCTGACTAATGGTGTTAGTGTGATGGTATACACTATGCTGAACAAGGAGGTCCTTTCTCCAGATGTGATGGAGGCCAGATGGCTTGGGGTATGGAGGTTGAAGACTATGGCAGAACTATCTAAAGCCCTGCTGGCAGGCAATCTTGAGAGAAAGTGAGAGTAGGAAAATAAAAACACCCTTTGTAAAATGTTTTCCTCATTAAAATAGTGGTTAGTGAGTTTTGGTCCCAAAGTATTTTCCTTTCTTGTCAATCTGCCCTGATGGCTGAGTTGGTTAGTACATGGAGGACAGGGTCTCAGATTTCATCACTAACTCTTGGATATGCAGAAATGATATAGAGGAACTGCAATAAATACATATGGCTGGGAATATAGGGTGTTTAAAGACCTGCTTTATGTATCATTCTTGGGGTCTCTGTATTGGAAAGAAAGATGTTTCTCTGCATTGGATTCACTTATTTTACACTAGGTCTCCATATCAACACAAGCTGGTGCTGACTTATCATTCTAGGCGATTATCAACCAGACCAGACCTGTTATCAATACACTGGAGAAGAAGGTGTGGTGTTGGAGAGGCAAACACGGAGCAGAACGTTGGAGCTGTCTATGGTATCAGTGTTTCTTCTGTCACTGGGGGCCTGCGGTCTGAGTGTCCTCCTCAAGTCCATAGAACTTGTACAGGTAAGTCTTGTCTTCAGGGATTCACAGAATCTGTGCAAGTTAAGATTCAGCCAGGATCCTTTACGGCAGAGGTAGTACAACAACCCCACTTTTCCTAAAGATACAGTACAGTGATGAAGCACCCAGACCCGGGAATAGTTAGAAACTCTTGAATTTTTCTGAGCCAGCACTTCCAAGGGTGATAAAGTCCATGGGGCTCAAGCCAATGCTGTTCTGTGGACAAGCTCCTGAGAAAAGGACCCCAAAATGATGTGAAGTGATGTTAACTTCCAGCCTGTGGGATGGGATAGGCCTGGAAAGTATATCACCCAAACCCCAGAGCACCCCCCCCACAACCAAACCCAAATAAAACACCCAGGAGTAAGGAGGGAAGAAGAGACCTGGTCTATAAATAATCCAAGATGATCATTGCTGGAAGACTGGAGGGCAGAACTGAGATGTGGAAAATGTGGAGTATAAATATCATTGAGTAGAGTTCACAAAGAGCCTAAATTTAAAACACAGAGGCCACACAAACAGGAGAAAGAGAGAGAGAGAGAGAGAGAGAGAGAGAGAGAGAGAGAGAGAGAGAGAGAGAGAGAGAGAGAGGTTTTAGAAATAAATGCTGCTGGAGACATCAATGCACCAATGAATGATTTGGTTTGGAACAATAATATACAGAGAATTTTTTTTATGGTGTTCTGTCATAAATGGGTTTTAGTTGCTTAGAATAACAGAGAAATGAAAGATGAAATCTCCCACAGAGATTTCTGAAGAGACTGTAAAAGTTAACTTGTACATTGGCCTTATAATGAAAATGAGAAAGTCCTGATGGGAGTTATCTTCAGAAGGGAAGTTCTGAGAAATACAAATAAGTCATTGCATTTGCATAAAAAGTGATAATTCCATGCTTAATACATGGTCATACTTAACATAGTTTGGAACGTGTAAATTAGCTAGAATATTAGTGAGTTTTCAGTTCCAGTGAAAAGTTGAATCTGAATGCCCATGGGTTCAGTCAGGAGTCACAGGATGATGCATCTGGCCCTTGATTATGTTATTTAGTGAACTTCAGGTTCAGAGTTACTGTGAGGTGTCCTGTGTTTTCAGGCCTCTGTTTTGAATGCTGTGCAGGGCTGTTATTGTGCCCATAGACTTTGCTTTCTTTATACCCTGTACAAGTGTGACACCTCATTCTGAGGATACAGTTAACTTACTGCAAGCCCTGTCTCAGACCTAATCAATATCATTACCTCAAGTAGTTTGCAAGATGACATTTTGAGGCTGTAATATAGGAATATACACTTGCTGGTTTTCCTTACTATTGTCACGTGTAAGCAGATAATGCTCTGTCTGGTTACTTAGCAGCCAGCTGTGTATTACGTTCTCGTAGGGACATTTCTAAAAGCTTCCTTTAGATGACTTGGGAAAGGGTAAGACTAAAGACAAAGCACAGCCTGAAGCTCCAGCTGCTGACTGGAGCACGAAGGGAGAATAACAGCTAAGAAATATGAGGTCTTTGGCCCCTTTCCCAGAATCGCCAGGCTAAGACCTTGGCAGAGACTCAACAGGAAACTGAACTCTATTTGCATATCCTTTTATACATGGGAGATTAAAAGCTTCAACCTTGAATGATCACAGTTTCTGAGAATCATGACAAGGCATTAAAGAAGAGGTGGAGTGTCCCGAGGGAGGTGAGCAGGAGGCCGTGCAAGGTAGGTGTGAGGTTGGCAATGACTTTCACTTCCCTTTGATTAATGGTGAGTGTGTTTCATTTAGTTCTTTTAAAATAAATTATTCTTATGGGGTCACATAAAGGAATCAGCAGGGCATAGATCTTTGCTTCTCCAAATCTTGGGAGTCTGTCAAAGTTGACCCCCTTTTCTCATAGCTAAATCCTCTTCCTGTGTAGATACCTACACAGCTTACTGCTGAAGGGAGTCTTAGAGGGAACCCAGTATCGACTCAATTGTACAGATGCCATCAGAGACTCAAAGAGCTCAACTGACTTGTCTGAAGTCAGACAGAAGTGGAGTTTTGACTCCCACATGAGCTTCTACCTCCCCTTAGCAGGTGGACAGTTCCTCAAGTCTCAAGTGACTTCTCTCAGACCTGTGATTTGGCACAACTACCCTTCACTATTGTCTCCCATCAGAACACGCATTTCTCTGGCAAGACAGTGAGTCTAATTCCCTGGCTCTTTCCCCAGTTCTCCTGGACCAGTTCCCTGTGATTCTTTAATGGAAGGATGAACATATTTATCCTTGAGGTTCATTTAGGGAAACTTGGCTTTCTTGGCCAAGCAGTACTGTAAAAACAAACACGGGCAACACAATGATGTGTGAATGACACCCTTCATATTAGTAAATAACTTGATATCTTTCAAGGACAGGAAAAGCTCTATTCTTAAAAGGGCACATTAACTAAGACCAGGGGTGAGGGGGTCCCTGCAGGTATCATGGCAGGCAGGGAAACAATCCTCGCAGAGGTGAGAATGAAAACTTAGTTCAGCTGGCTTAACCTGGATCAAACTTCTAGAGAGTGTGATAGCAGGTGGTTTATTGCCAGAAAATTTAAACACAGTACCATTTGGGATAAAGTTTCCAGGAAACAATCATTCCCATTCCAGGTTTCTAGGAGACAATCATTCTAATTCCAGGTATACACTAAAGCTTAAGGTGTGCCTACATGGAAACTTCTTTGCAAGAAACATATGACCACAAATGTGGGTTCTATAGCTAAAAGGCCTAGAATCTAGTGTGGTCTCTGACCAAGATAGCATTGAGGTCATCAGGCCATAAAATACATGTGACATCTCTCCTAAGGGTGGGTTTTATTAACTGGGAGCTGAAGACAAAGATCTAGGGATGGAGAGTCTTGGATAATCATTCTGGGGGATTTGGGTGAGGTCTGATTCCACAGATAGCAAAAGGTCATCAGGTCATTAACAACACCCACTCTCAACTTTCTGGGTAGAATGCAGGTGTTTTATCTTCTCCATTGAGGAGACACCCCTAAGTGTTTAACATTCCTGGTTTTATTAGTCATCTGTGAGTGCAAAGACCTTTGGGATGCCAATGTGAGGAGGTCCTTTATGAGAGCATTCCTAAAGCTAGGCAAAGCCAAACTTTCTAAAAATTTAGATCTTTTTGCCTAGTTCTTATCCAAGATGTCTGATCAAGTCTTCTGGAAAATGGTTCATATGATAAATTTTTCTGCTATTTTAGTGAAATAGAGACATGTTCACTTGGCACAGACAAGCCTTAAGGATCAGTGTTTATTAAGGGGATACTCCTTACACTGACCCCCAGTGATGATCTGGCCTTTAGGATTTCCACTACCAATAGCACAGGGAATTAATTTAGAGTAGTCTTTGGAAAGTCATTTTTATGAAAAATCATGCAGGCAACACATTGGATTTGGAAAATGCAAATAGTTATTAGCACTGAACCCTATTCCCTTCTGAATCCTTTGGTGTTTTCTGGGTAAAACTCCCTCACTGTGGGACATTAACATTGCTGAGCACCTTTGGGGTGCTCATCACAGGTTTTCCCAACTAACTAGTTGCTGTTTATCCTTGTAATAACCTTGTGAACATATTCTGCATATTTTATGGACAAAGGATAGAATAAAGGCTTAGAGAAGTTGGGCAACCCACTGTGAGGTCTGGAACTGTGATTCTATTTTTGTTTGGTTATTGTCACTAATTAAATGCATATGCAACTTATGAACCAAATTCTTTTTTTTTTTTCTTTTTTGGTTTTTTGAGACAGGGTTTTTCTGTGTAGTTTTGGTGCCTGTCCTGGATCTTGATCTGTAGACCAGGGTGCCCTCAAACTCACAGAGATCTACCTGGCTCTGCCTCCGGAGTGCTGGGATTAAAGGTGTACACCACTGCCTGGCACGAACCAAATTCTTAAATATGTTCATTTAAGATAAATGAAACAACTTCCCCAGTAATGTTCATATTATGAAAAAAATTAATTTCAACACATGTTAATATTTTTGTGAATGATTGTCCCATTTATTTTCATACACCACTTATCTGTACTATATTGGCAAATATAGAGAGGAAAATATACTTACTTAAATTGCAACATGAGACTTTTTTTAGGACAACAAAGAAGCTTTCACGAATCTGCAAACATGGGAAGGCTCAGAGATAATTATCTGAGACTCAGGGACAAACTCACGTCCTTTGCTTTAGCATGATCTCACCTCTTGTCCTTCCTGTTTGCTTCGTCCAAATGTCCTCTAAGACCAGGGAAAACACCTGCAATGGGAAGCCAACCCCATCTAAGAGGGGGGCATCGGATTCCTGTCCCTTGGCCAACAGGACTCCTGAAAGGGCAAGTCAGGACCTTTGTGACTCATCACACTCCTCCTTACCCATTGGCCCAGGCAGCTCTGGAAGCAGTTATTAATAGAGGAGAAGATGAGAAAGAGCTGAAGGAGCAAAGTGGAGTGGTTGTCATCTAAGTATAATCACAACGCAGATATACTGAGAAGAAACGGACTCCAGGGAGAGGGAGGTGTCCCTATCACACTTCTAGATTTTGCTTTGCTCTGCCTGTTGGAGGTAATTTCAATTCCTGTAGTTTTTCTGGATTCCCAGTTGTAAAAGTACAATACACAATAACAGAGTCTTCCTGTTTCAGTCCCTTGGTTTCCAAATACAAGTAACTGTCAAGCATTTTACCTGGTGATAACAAATATCCTTTAATGCAAGATGTTCAGTGATTAATACTCCCTGTCTTACTTACCTTTCTATTGCTATTATATGACCAAGGCAACTTACAATAGAAAGTATTTAATTTGGGGTTCACTGTTCCAGAAACACACACACACACACACACACACACACACACACACACACACACACACACTAGCAGGTGTCTTTTGAAACCTCAAAGCCCACTCCAAGTGACACACCTCTGACAGGGCCACATCTCCTAATCCTTCCCAAACAGTTCCACCAACTGGGGATCAAGCGTACAAACAAATGAGCTTATGGGGCCATTCTCACTCAAACTACCATACTTTCCAAAGGACTAAGTTGGCAAACGTATTCATGTAGTCTTTCTGGAGCTTGTTCAGACTAGTTTATACAGAAGAATCCCAAGTTAAACCCATGGGAGTGGCCACTACTTCTCACTGTTACCCTCCAAGAGGTTTACTGAACATCTGGATAAAAGGAAACACTGGTAAGGCTCATAATGCTGTGAGGCAGACACTGCATCCACTCATCTCAAGATGGTGATGACTGTGTCCCCACAGAGAAACACCACAAAGCAGCCAGTTCAGGCAGACACTAAATGCTGGAGGCTGAGGGCCTGAGAGTGGCACAGGTGCACAGGAAGCTGTCAGCATCACGGCGGCTGAACAGGAGGCAGTTCCGCCTTCCAAACCCATGTTTCTTTGGTGGAGTCTGCTGAGGACTCTGATAAAGTATTGAGTCCATAGTTTGGCCATAGACATGCTTTTAACAAGCCGGATTTTGATATACACTAAGAAAAGAAGACTCTCAGGTTGTATGTCACAGCAGCATGCAGGAAGGATGCCCGTGTTTGTGTCCTGGCTCAGCTGCTTTCAGTCGTGGGGCCTTGGGCAGTCTCCAAGCCTCCTCACACTTTGGTTTCTTCATCTGTGAAGTAGAGGTAATAGCGTCAATGGGTCGTTGGGAGGACCAAACAAATGGAACACAGGGCGACTTTATGCAGAAGTTCTCCGAGACTGCGGGCCAGCATTATTAACCTCATTACTGGGAACTCTGGAGTGACTAATGATTTCCACTTCAAGGAGATTTTTTTTAACTTTTAACTTCTTATTGCTGAAAGTCAAAAAGGTTTTTCTTTTTTCCCCAACTAACAGGAAATGAGGACGGCTACTCACAGGAGGTAACAGCCGGAAGAGACCTCGGCTGTATCAGGCTCACCTTCTTCATCTTACAAATGAGTGTGAGAGGAGAAGAAATGGGTTCAAGCTCTCACAGGATAGGTGCAGGTTTGGAATAAGTCACAGTCATGGGGGGGGGGGTTCCTTCCCATTCTGTAACAACTTTTTATATGCAACAATTCAATTCTGTCCAATTCTTTGTCTCCCACTTGAGGTAACTCAGAAATTGACCAGGAATGCATGCCTATGGAAGACCGACCAGTGCTGAGCAGAATGAACCATCACTATTAAAATATAAAGACACTTTTAATAATCTGGCTTTTTCTTTGCAACATCGTCATATTGGTAGTGTGCTGGCTAGTTTTATGCTGACTTGACACTAACTAGAGTCAGATGGAAGGAGGGAACCTCAATTGAGAAAATGCCTCCGTAAGGTCTGGATGTAGGGCATTTTCTTAATTAGTGATTGATGAGGGAGGGCCCAGCCCATATGGATGATGCCATCCTTGGGCTTGTGGTCCTGGGTTCTATAAGAAAGCAGGCTGAGCAAGCCATGAAGAGCCAGCCAGTAAGCAGCGCTCCGCCACGGCCTCTGCATCAGCTCCTTCCTCCAGGTTCTCCCCCTGTTTGAGTTCCTGTCCTGACTTCCTTCAATGATGAAGAGTGGTGCGGAGGTACAAGCCAAATAAACCCTTTTCTCCTCAAGTTGCGCGCTTTTTGTTGTTTTGTTTTGTTTTTGTTATGGTGTTTCATGGTAGCAATAGAAACCCTAAGACAAGTAACTTGTTTTGAAAAAGACAGAAATGGGAGATTCTTTGTCTCTGAATGAAAGGGAGGGAAGAGCTGCCTGACAGGCTCTGGCCATTGATCCATCTATTCCTCAGCAGAGTGAGTGAGAGGCCCTGTGGTGAGCGGCAGGGGTTACCCGGGTTGAGATGAGAGAGAGGAGTCTGCCTGCCCTTTGTTCCTTCACCAGCTTTGTGCTCAATGTGATGTGCTCAGCAGAAGTGCTGAGGAATCCAGGGTGGGGACTGGGGTTTTGAGGTTCTTTAGAAAGAGTCAGAAACCACAGACTGAACTTGAGGCAAGCACTCTGACTTCATCAAGAGCTTTGTACTCTCACAACGTAGAAGAAACTACTTACTCTCCAAGCCTTGAAGGAAGTAGCCGGCGGCTCAGCCTGGCTGGGTGGAGAAAAGTTTCTCAGCTGACTGGCAAGGACTTCCTTAGCGTGGATGCAGATTGGAAGCACGGGGTGGGGGTGGGGACGTGGTAACAGAGTGCTTTCTCATGGCTCTCAGATGTCAGGGTCCAGTGGAGGAAGCTCTGAGCCAGAGACAGGAGAGCTGGGTCCTTTTGGCCACCAGCTGATCTGTGGGGATGGGAAGGTCACTGAAGTCTTTGTTTTTATTTTTGACACGCTTAGTGAGGAGGCCCGGCCAGGTGTTGATTAGACTTCCTTCACTTCTAACACCGTATGGCAAGAGTATGGTAGGGTGACTAGGCTGCCGAACTCAAAGGCTTTCAGTTGACTCTTCCCGCCCACAAGGGCCTTGTCCCCAAGCTCCCGCTCTGATTTCAGCAATACTCCAGCGCCCCTGTGGAGTGTTGTGTTCTCACTTAAAACATGCTGCAGGAAGCCTTAGTTACTTTTTTTTAGGAGACTGGTGCAGTTGGCCCCTTTACCAACTACTCAGGGTTAAACCCCAGATGTGACATAAACACAGCTGAGGTCTTTAGGCAGGAGGGATGCCTTTGATGTGACAGAGCTGTGACCACACACCCAGGCTGCCTCCTTGGCATTGCCCTTGTGGGTGATGACTTCCTTCTCATTGCCTCTGAGTAGTGCCTTGTCAGGGGACAAACAAGTGGAAACAAGCCCTGGGGATTTCTCTGGGCTTTGTGGTTCCAGAAGCCCTGGCACCTTAGGCTGGGGAGGGATTGTAACAACATCCCCATCTTTCTCAGAGTCACCCCCTTCCTCTGGTTCCCTCTCTGCCTGGCTTCCTTGAGAGGAGGAAAATCCAAGAAACTCACTGGGATAAGCTTCCTTGATGTCAGCTTTCCTGTTTATTAAGACAGTTTGGGGGTGGACATTGATCTGCAAATGCATACAAGACGAAGGTTGTGTCCCAGGGAGACTAGAGTCAGCTTGAGACGAGGCAGGGACGTAGGTCATGGTCTCCCCATCCTTTCCTTCTGTGGCAGGCAGGGTGGACTTGTTATAGTTCATCGAATATGGTCATTTAACAAGGGAGAGAGGCAAGGAGAGGGCTCAGTGGCACACACCCCACGCACTTCCCGCTTGTCAACAATTTCATTCCATCTTCTTCCTCCTCCTGTCCTAAGTTTTGATCTCTTCTGGACTCCTTCCATGCTGCTCCCTCACACTTGTCCCTTGACGGTTTGTGCCAATCAATCCAACTCTGTCATTCGGTCTTCAAGAAATGACAGTGCCCGTCAAAGAACGCTTAGCAAGAGAAGGGAGAGCCCTCTGACTCGCAGGAAAGCTGCCGTTACATCTTAAAACTGGACCAGAGGTTAATTTGAACAGAGGTGTTTAGAAAACAGACGAACATCAATCAGGCTGTCTATGTGGAAGCCCCCCCTGAGGTGTCCCCTTTAGTGTACAGCCTTTTTGAGAGGTGGTAGAAAGCTGTGATCTCACCAGCCTTCCGGGACACCTTCTCTGAGTCACCCCTCCCCCCTCCCTCCCTCCCGTCTTCACTCCCTCCCCCCACTTTCTTTCTTTTCCCTTCTTCCCCTCTTACTTTGTGCTTCTGTATGGGCATTATCACCATGTAACATTTACTTTTAAACTTAATTTACCATTTATTTCCACTAAAATATAAACTCCCCGAGCTTCCAAAAACCACATTCCCGGCCCTTTTAAAAATGTACTCAGCACACAGTAGGCACTTAATAAATTGTTATTGAATGAATGAATGAGTGTTGTTACGTTCTAGGAAAGCAATTTTAATCTCCAAAAGTCTATAGTTGAGATCGATTTTTCTCTCTTAATGATTTGTTGTCATAGTGATATATTTATACTGACATTTCTGTTTCTGAGAGTTATAAATACTCATGAGGTTCTGCCCTTAAGCTGGGGAAGGATAATTTAAGCCTCCCTATTGTATTCTGTGTATCCAGGTGAAGAGGAAACTTAGGATTGCTGGATTTATTAGTTAAACACCGCACTTGAGACTCTGCCCTTATTTTAATGTATACAGCTGTTATGTTCATTTGACTTAACTTTCTTTGTCCTGTCACCAGGTATTTTTTCCAATTGAGTGTGGCATGCCGGGCAAGCACACTGCTCCATTGACGGATGTCTGCTTCAGGAGCCCTTGGGCATCTCTAGGCTATGTCTTTGGGGAGTCCTTCCCATGTTTGTTACATGCTACTGTATGCTGTTACCACTCACAAATGTATGTGTACAATACTAAAAAAATTTAAAGACCCCAATAGATTCCATATTCTTTTGGGGTACCTAAATCTTGTGGTAGTGGTAGGGTATAGGGCTGTCAGGAATCACACACACACACACACACACACACACACACACACACACACACACACACATACACATCCCTTTCAGTACTGGGGATGGATTTTTTTTTTTTTTGGTTTGGGAAAATGACTTATTATAACTTTTAATTATGCAATAGCAGGCTCTTGTGTGTCTGTTTGGGGAGAAAATACATAATTCCTTCATGAAATGAAGTAGAAAAATTAAACTTTCCTCTGACAACCCAAGACACGGGGTATATGGCATTGGGACTTATCCGTGAAAAGCGTTGGTTAAAGGGGAAACCCTCCCATTTTATATGGCCATCATCTGGTGTCTAGGGACTGTGGGAGGACTGAGGGCTGGCCTCTCAGAGCCATGTAGCTGGCGTTGGAGAGTGCTGGGTTGTCAGCTCTTCAGAAAGTCTTGTTGCCGTCAACAGCCTTTTGTTAGTGGGTAGTCAGTCTGAGGGAACGTAGCTCAGAGGACAGAGTGAGTACCAGTCTTGTGTCCACAGCATCAGCATAGGGTGGAGTACATGGCTGCCATGGTGTGGCATTCAACCCTTCAGCGAATGTCTGATGTGCTAGACTTTTCCAAATGCTGGAATTAAAGAAAGAATGAAAAAAAAAAAAAAAAAGAGCATTGCCATCAAGTATTTGTACCTGTATTCCACAACTAGGCAGACATGAGAGGCATTATTTGCTCTATCAATAACTGAAGTCTCTGGACACAAAACAAATCAGAGCTTTATCATCATGTCATTTCAATTATCGTTGAGGGAAATGGATTCAGCTGGAAAGGAGGGCAGGAGGCAGATTCTGGAGTTTGCTCACCTTGTCAGTGTGGAGAAGTTCTCAGGCAGCATGCATTGCCCGAGGCACCGCAGTGTGCTCATGACCTGACTCACAGCAAGGAAGATTTGCTTAGAAATTAATTACTATTCTTTGCACAGTTTTTCCTGCACCGGAATCCACCCTAGTACTTTTGAGCACATTACTTCATCTCTCAATGTGAGAGCTATTGATATCAGATCTTAAGCCCATTTGCTGCCTCTGTCGAGGTGATAAGTGGATAAAAATAAAAAAAAAAGACAATCTGAACATTTTGCCTCAGTGTATGGATACACATGGGTGGTAAAGACAGCAATCCTGTGGACTTGACAGAACCCACAGAATTTTATCCAGCCCTGTGACTCCTATCACAAGGCTTCATCACCACCATTCCAGGCCTCTGAGGAGCCACAAGGCAATGAATCCATGAGAGTCCAGAAAGATATCACCTTTGACAAGCATTGCAAGAGGCATATGGGATCATTTCTCCCACGTTGGCCCCGGGAGAAAAGCAGGACAGATGGGGTGGAGCGGACTAGGGGAGAGGAAGGCATCCTGGCAGAACACCTTTTGTGCTGAAGTTGCAAATGGTGTTTTAAAGCAGTGAAGGAAGAGAGTGGTAGGTAGCAGGAGTTACACACCCAACCCCTACCCCGCCCCCCCTGCCCCCCCCCAGACCGACCGGTTTAGTACTGTGGCTGTTCTGTTCTCTGAGCAACCCCTGCATCGGCAAAGATGATCCAACACCATACCCCTGACCTCAGCCATTCTTTAGACAGGTAAAGCATTTCTTCAGCTTATCCCACAGCCCATATCCCAGGACAAGAACAAGCAGCCTTCAACCAGATCCAGTTTCTGGGTCCGCTTCTGAGGTAAATTGTCTCTACAGGGCTTAGTACCCCCATGTATACGACGGAGCTGATAATGCCCTCATGGGGGCTGTCACAAACACGACTGAGAAGTAAGGAGACAGGGGCAGAAGGGAAGGCAAAAGGTCTAATAGGGTGGGTAGTCATCGAAACATTCAGGATGCTAGAGAAGGAGTCTGACCCTTGTTGTTAGACGAGATGACCGAGCATACTACTAACTATTTGGAGCTGAAGGAACAGAGAAGCACTTCCCCACTTTCCCAATTTCGTCTTAGTACACTCAGAGTCGGGGGTAAATGGGGAGAAACTGGATGTCACCATAGCTGCACTTCAGGAAGTATCTTTTTAGTTGCATCATAGCTTTAGAACTTTGGGTGTCTAGCTTTGTGAAGCTTCAAGAACATTGTTAGAGTGAATGTAACAATTAACTCCTTTCTCTGCCCCATTGTTGGGCTA